CAGCAGGAAATCTCCGGGAGAATACAGAGGAAACGTGTCTACGAAGTAACAGCAGTCGTCAGAATATTCGGCAACAATGTCCCCAGTGCAACAGTTCAGGCCACTCTCTGGATCCTGAACCCGAACCAACGCGAACAATACATGGCCATATCCAAGTAAGTTCACTGTTCCTTTCGCCTTTCTCGTTCCTAAACTATATCTCCATATTAATTCATTGAACTGGTTTCGGGTATATTCTTCATGAGTGTCAGCGTTCAAGCCACTGACAAGAACTGGGTTGAGTTGAAAGGTAAGTTCATCATCCATGGCTCGCCTTTGCGTGTAATACTCTACCTCGAAGGTCCACCTCCGGGAACCGATATTCTTCTCAATGCCCTAACCGTCAAACACGCCAAAAAGCCTCGCCCTTCGCCTCCACCATTCTACGAGGTCGGGCTTTCTTCACAGTTTTGAAGAAAAGCATCATCGTCTCGATGGATTCTCGGATGAAAAATTGTTCTAATCTCTGGATTTTCCTGACAGAATCCTGCTTTTGGGGTCAATATCATTGCAAACAGCGAGCCAGTAGATGGAAAGGCCGATCCATGGTTCCCGCTCGGAAGCTGCAAGCTGAGTGTGGCTCAAGGATCACCTCGAACTCTTCCTCCAATGGCGAGAACCACTCTCGGTCCGCAAAAACCTCTGTCCGGAAGTTACATCCTCGTGACTAACCGTACTCAGACATGGATGGGACCGGCACAGATTATAACAGAGAAGCTGAAACTGTTCTTGACGTATCAGGTCTCGGCCTGGGTCAAGATCGGTGCAGGAGCCAGTACGATTACTCCTCAGAGCATTAACGTGGCGCTAAGTGTGGATAACCAGTGGGTTAATGGTGGCCAGGTTGAGGTCACTGCAGGTGGGTCATGGCACGAGATCGGCGGCTCGTTTAGGCTCGAGAAAAAACCCGAAAACGTCATGGTTTATGTTCAAGGTCCTGCTGCCGGTGTTGATCTGATGGTTTCCGCTCTTCAGATCTTTCCTGTTGATCGTCGGGAACGGATCAGATGTCTTAAAAGACAGGCTGATAAGGTATTTTATAACTCTTTACAACCCTCTCCCCCAACAAGAAGTTCTCGAATTCTTTACAAAGAGAATCAGTGAAGTTACAAGAAATGGTTTATGTTATTGCAGATACGAAAGCGCGATATCGTCCTGAAATTCACGGGACTAGACGATTCATGCACGCTGTTTCCGTACATCGTCAAGATCAAGCAAACACACAACAGTTTCCCGCTAGGAACTTGC